CTGGCTTGGGCCCCGCCAGCTGGAACAACTCGCGTGGTTGTTCAGATGACCGGACCACCTGCGTCGTGATTGCAAGCGGCGTGAGTAAAGTTTTTTGCAACCGATAAGTTGTGTCTGCCTCTCCATTCACCAGCCCGCCCTAACGTACGACCAATTTCTAACGCAACTCAAGTCGGCTCTGGCCGTCCGAGACACTTCTCAATTTGCATTTATACATTTATAGAAATTATACATTTTCCTGTAGCTTGTACTGTACATGATGACCCACTATTTACCTTGCTCTTTGGTTACCAGGCATTTAATATAGTGCTCTTTCCCCTCCAGGAATTTCACAAAGCTTTCTTTCTCATGGGCGGGGAGGAACTTAGAATAAGTCATGCAAGAGCAACCTCTGGTTAATGAAGGACTGGCTTAGAAGGGCCTCTTCAAAACACTTCTAGTGAATGATGATTGCTGCAGTACATGGTTCTGAACATGTGTGTGGAAAGTAAATGCAGGGGGAAATGGAGAGGGTATCAGTAAAGTTCTGGAGCTTCCCCACCTAATTTGGGGTGAATAAAGCAACCACATCAAAAATAGTATAGAGGATGATAACAACAATCATATTAGACTTTATATTTAAAAAAGAACAAAATCTTGAAGGGATAAGTCCTACTCTTTAATACTTAAAATGCTTCTCTGTATATTGAGGATTGGAATTTAATTCTGAAAACAATTATTTTTAAAAAACAGGGTGATGTTTTAAGTTATTATTTAAATAGAAAAAATGCCTAATCTGACTGAACAATCAAAGATCAGGCCTTGTCCCAGATAGATCTTGGTTTTATCACTACCATAAGGACTTAGATTGGGGGAAGGGGGATGGTTGTGCATTACTGATAAGTGACGCTTGGACTTGAGGCTGTTATCACCTTCCAGCATTTCCAATTAACAGAACCGAAGCTTTGGTCTTTAGAACGAGGAAGCCGTTCACCTCCCTATTGCCAAAAATATAAATGAAGGAAAATGGAAATATCCAAAGCAACAGATGGGCAAAATCAAGGATATTGTCATACCATTGAAAATAGTTTGTGAGATCCACAGCAAAGAAATAATAGCAAGAGCAATTTTTTTTTTACTTGTTCCATTTTATTTATTACTCTTCCCATTCTAAACGAAGAAACATATTCATGTATTATTCACAGTCTTTGTTTCCACACCTGCAAATATGTTTTGTTTCTTTAACAGGGCAAAAAGGATGTGTCCCAGATATTTAACAACATCTTGAGACGACAAATTGGCACTCGAAGCCCTACCGTGGAATACATTAGTGCCCATCCCCATATCCTATTTATGCTCCTAAAAGGGTGAGTGTGTGTGTTTAATGTGGGTGTGATTTCCATTAAGCAGGATTGCCTGAACCAGGGATGGCCAACCTGTGGCACAAGTGGCACAGGCAGCACAGCCTCTGTGGCCTGCAGTCAATCAGGGAGGGGACAAACAGCATAGCAGTAGACAGGGTTGGAAGTAGAAGGCAAACCAGAGATCAGGCAGGGAGCACATTGCAGGAAGCAGAGCAACAGATCTGGCAGAGGAAGGCAATTGGAGTGGCACTTGGGCTAATTCCAGATGTTTTGGCCTTTGTTGCCTTACTGTTATTTAAATGTATACTTGAAAGCATTTTGGTACCTGAATTATTTATTTGGCCAAGATTTCTTATCCAGATTCCCCACTGGGATAATTTACCTTCTGACTGCTTCTCCATTTTTCAGTGTATCTATTGCTTTCTGCCTTAAACTTTTGTGTAGCATTACTGGGTGCAGTTAAACAGCTGCTGAGTTTCCTTCAGGGGTTTCTGCTCCTCAGCCCCTTGGAACAACATAGAAGTTGATGGAGAAGTTAATGCTGCTTTTGTGAGCATTGATTCTTCAGTGGTTGTACCTCACAGAGGAGGCTAAAGCTCAGCTGTAGCTCATGGGCACCCAACATGAGTGTTGCCATTAAGGAAAGGAACTAGGCAGCAGCACAGAGGAGATGTTGACTGTACGGATGCTCAGGCTTGCATGAGTTTGGGACCAAACTTCCTTGATGCTTCTGTCCTACTCTGCTTGACCACAAATCCTTCCCTCTTTAGTGAGAATCTGGGCTTTTCCATGCCTTAAAGGCTACTGATTTCTGATCACCCTTTCATCAACTTTCACTGAGGGAGGGAAAATAAAGGTCACTGTCCAACAAGAGGCTTGGGCTTGATCTGGAGGAAAGTGATAACCATATATAGTGACGAATGTGGTTAGGTATAAGAACACCACTTTACATATAATAGCAGTACTCCTACCTGAAAGCATATAAGAATCATGAGATTTTAACAGGAAATAATGCATTTTGGGTTTTTTAATTGACTTCTAGTTTTTTAAGACAGAAGGCAGGCTATATTTGCATCTTATGGGCTAACTCAGGGGCGGGCAAAATGCGGCCCATGGGCCAGATGTGGCCCACCAGGCCAGTCTATCCGGCCTGCGGGGCCCCTAAAAAATTTAGAAAATTAATATTTATCTGCCCCTGGCTGCCTGTCATGCAGCCCTGGATGGCTTGTGAAAACACAGTAAGTGGCCCTCCGCCCAAAATAATTGCCCGCCCCTTTGTTAACTAAATCAGATACATCTAACATAAACGTTCATAAGCTCAACCTCACCTCATCAGATGCTGTTAAAGGATGCATACAGGGCAGTGTATAAAATGGAGAGCCTGATTTAAATACAAAAGACAGGAAGTGGAGGAGGGGAGGTGGAAAAGGGAGGCAGTGCTGGGCGAGACAAACAGGGAAGTAATAAACCCAGAGGAACAAAGGGGTCACAAAAGCAAATTGAGATAATGGGTAAGAATCCATAGTCCCTGTTTAAACCATACTTCACAGATTTCATATACATTAGGGGCTGGAAGGGACCTCTTGAGTTTGTGTCCAGTTCCCCTGCCAGAGGCAGGAAGTCTGCAGGGATCAAATGATCCCAGCAAGATAAGCATCCAAACACCTTTTGAATAAGTCCAGAGTAGGTGCCTGCACCATCTCTGGAGGGAGTTTGTTCCAGACCTTGGATACTCGGACTGAAAAGAAGTTTTTCGTTTATTGAGTCTGAATTGGCCTTCTAGAAGTTTGTGGCCATTAGAGCTAGTTATCCTTTAGGGAGCCATGTGAACAACTGTTCTCCCAGATCCTGATGCACCCCCCGCCTTATATACTTAACACAATCCAGTCTGTGGATCGTTTTTTGTTCCACAGTTTCCCATTCAAGTTGTTTTTTAAAGTTTTACTACTTAAGAACAGCTACCTTGAAGTTGGCACTGGAGAGTCCAGGAGGTCAAAGTATTCTACCACAGACACTTATGTTTTTCTGGACATAATTGGTGTTCATCCATTCTTACACATAGGATTACCTTGTCTGCCCAATGTAGACAACTGTGAGGCACTGTAAGCAGGTGATGGTGTACATGATATTGGTAGAGGGTGCAGGTGAATGAACCTCAGATTTATAACTCATGTTATCCAGCCCAGTGATGATGTGGTCTGTATTAATGAGGGGGCACAGCTGGCATCTCGGTCTGTTGCAAGGCCCTCGTGTCTCATTGAGAATCTGACTTAAATAGCCTGTTACTTGAGAGATGCCTTTTGTGGGTGAGGGGGGACTGTCTGTAAATCAGGACAGGTTTGTTCCTCATGGCTACCTTGAGACAGTTATCATTTTCCAGGAGGGCTAGGAGGTCATTAATGACGTGTCTAAAGTGTTCAAGCTGGGGGCTGTAGGTGACAACCAGAGGAATTATGTTGTCTCTGTCCCAGGTTTGGTATTGTGTGAGGTTGGTATGAGTTCTGAGTCTGTCTTTGTTGATATGAATGGCTACAGTTTTGGAATTGTATCCATGGGCAGATCTAGGTTTTAGAAAAGGGGACGGTGCATATGGTGTGTTGGATCATTACATATAATGCAATACACTTTTTTCCAGTTAAAGGGAAACTAGATGCTTTGCTAGGGGGCTAGCCCTATTATTCAGTTACAATTAAAGGAAAAAAAGCAAATATAACTATTGAAATGTGAATAATTTGCTAGATTGTATATCAGTTTTAAAAAAAACCCACAAAAAAAACAGTCAGAAAATAGTCAAAATATGCTGTCATTTGTCCTGTAGTCATTATAGTTAAATGTACTTCTTTTATTCAGATTCACAAAACATAATCTAGCCTTGAGCATCTTGACAGTGCCTCTAGTACTTCACTGTCAGTCATTTCTATACCTGAGTTGATAAAACCACCTAACCTGAATTAAGGTTTTTAGCTAGAGCTAAAAGTAGTCTGCAGGGTTGTGAAATAGAAGAGACATTACCAGGGATGGCTAACAGCCAGCAAAATTTCAGAAGAAAATATTTTGAAGATTAGAAAGTCAAGTCCACTAAAGAAAATAGAGGGTCATTAGCACCTGTGGAGTGGAGAGAAATTAGCAAGAATCAGAGAGATGACAATGAGCCATGAAGTCAATTGACTCTCTTGGCACTGCCTGAATAGAAATGTTGCTACATGCTACAGCTCTCAGGCAGTTGGTTTTTAAAATTTGGGTGGAGTAGGAATCAAAGGGGGGTGCAGTTGCAGCACTGCAGTGCCCCCCCCACCGAATCTGCCCGATTGCATTGTAGGAATCCCCGCTTCAGATTGCTTCCTTTTCTCCCTCCTGCCTTTCCTGCCTTTTTGTATTCATATCACTCTCTCCATTGTATACACTGCTCTGTGCATGTCCTTTTACAGCATCTGTGGAAGTGAGCTTGAGCTCATGAAAGCTTATGATACATATATCAATCTCAAATTTAGTTAGTCTGTAAGGTGCAAATCTACCCTGCCTTCTGTCTGCCTTCAAACTGACACAGCTAACTAATTATTTCTAGTTTTTAAGATACTTCAGGGCTTGCATTCAGTCTCACAAGTCTTTCTTTAAAAAACAAACAAACCAGAACCTAGGGAATTTGATTTTATACTGAAAGGTATAAAGATTTTAAGGTTTTAAGACTTAGCAAACTATGAGTTTGCTCCTGATCTTGTTGAACTTAGTGGCAAAACTGCTATTGACTTAAAAAAGAACAGGACTGAACCTGTTCTTTTTCTATTAAAAATACAGAACCTGGGCCATCATTGATCTTAACAAATTGCATGTAATAATGACATGTAAGTAATTCTTAGCCATCAAACAAATCTGAGTTTCAAAGCTATTAATCTGAGTCACCAGATTCTTCAAAAGGATGCCAGTCGGCTTGCTAGAGGAATGGTAGTGGCAGGTGCTTATTTGTACTGATTAAATGTCAGTGTTCAGACCACATCTCTCTTGATACTAAACTTGTCATGTGACAGTGAACTTTGTCACATGACAATGATGATGGCTCATGTAATCACTGCTTATAAACATTTCAGAACAACTTCTACTGATTTAAGTCAAACTACATATTATCTCATGTTTGGGTAGGTTCTCTTGACAAGCCTGCATTATTTTTTCTTAGTTTTTTGGGATTGTTTGTTTTGATTTCTGCCTTCTTTCCTTTCATTTTGTTTGGGACAGTGCCTTGTATGTCTGTATCACATGGTCCATTTTTATTTAAAATTGTAAAATATTTTGGGTTTATTTTGGATTCTGGTAATAAGATTTTATTTCATTTTATTAATATGAAAGTATAGACATCAAATTTGTATTATCAATAGGAGTGGCACTATACAACAGGTGAACTGTGCTAAAATATTAATATACCCAAATATTGGAGAACATTATTAGACACTGTTACAGAATTCTAGATAATAATCCAAAACACTTACTCCTACAGTACTACCGCAAGATTTGGGTGATTGGTGTAGAATACTGTAACTTATTTTTAAATAAGGGAGCTTAATCAAGTACCTAAAGCATTTGCAGATGTATTTTTGTGAACACAAGGCCCCTGCCTGCATGGAATCCAGACACAGGATTGACTAAATCCATTACTTACCATATGTGCCTAAAACTGGAGCAAGGGCCAAACCTGGAATTTGTTGCATGCAGGCAGACTGCTATGCCCATGTACATTGAATCACAACGTTAGGACCTCAGGCTTAATTTTAGGCATCTGATTTCGAGCATTTGGCCCTGCAGTTACTTTTATTGCTTTTCTTTCTTCATCATGAATCTTCCAATGAATAGAATCCCTCAATGTAAATTTCATTTTAGAGAGAAAAGAAAACTGAAACAAAATGGGCAATAATGGCAGTTCCCGGTTCTTCTGAATGTGAATGCCTCTCTTAGTTAAACATAGGATGCTAAGCCTACTATTTAACATTAATGCTCATTGATTTACTTTTAAAATAAAATTAATGTTTTTATACACAGATGGTGGAATAAACAGCACAGGATTATCAGGGAGTCTTGCCATTGTTTGAATGCTATTGAATGTAAAATTTCCATAGCTGCGTGACAGTTCCCAGAAGTTTCAACAAAAGGTCACTTTTTCACTGAATGTGAGTTCTGTTGTTAAGTAGGAAGACTCCAGAATCGGATCTCTCTCCCAGTATTCCCTGAATAATACTCCAGTGGCACTGCCAGTTTGAGATCATTGCTCTTACCTTTTGGTTCCTCTTTTACTTCTCAGCTATTCCCTCCCAAGCTCTTAGCTTCACAAAAAACTTTAGCAAATGGTTCATTGCTTACCTACTTTTTTGTAGGTTAATTGACTTTCCTGCTGCCAAAGGGACTCACTTTTAATGACCTCTTATTTTCCCTTTATGAAAGCTCAGTGTGATTTGTGGTGTGTAAAAAGGACTTCAAAAGAATGGAGCCTTTGGTATATATAGTAGCTAATATCCCTGGGCCAGATTAATCACTGATTTAAATCTGTTGCTCTCAAGAGTGTCAAATGAGTAACGAATTGGGTTCCATTTGACTTAAAATAACTTGTTCTTCTGTGGTTCAGAGCTACTATAGAGTATTTCACTTCATATCCTAAGGTGGCATTCTGTGCCCTGAGATACCTAAAAGAATTATAAATGTCAAATATCTTAAGGGCATCTTGCCATGCATGTTTCTGAGCTATGCTCCATTGCTATCTCCAGATAGCCTTTTACAAGTTGGCGTTGCTAGAGATTGATTTTGTGCTAAGTCATTAGCAAAAATCCCAACTGACTTCAGTGAAAGGAGACCAGACTTTAAAGGTCAATGTAGAACTTAAAGGAGGCAGAGTAGTTTGTTAATAGTCTTTTGTCCTCTCCAGGATTGATGCCCTGCTGGGTTCTTCCTCTCCACTCCTATCTCTGTGTCTTCTATGTACACCCCATCAACTGCATCCCCAATGCATCAAGATAACTCTTCAACTCACTTCTTACAGTACCCACAAAACTGGGCTATAGATATTAAATTAAAGTTAGTTTCTCCTTTGGGTTTCCAGTGCATCCAGCTCAGTGAATACTGAGGCCAGTTCTGGTCTCCACACCTCAAAAAGGATATAGAAAAATTAGAGAAGGACAGCAAGGAGGATTTAGTGGTATGGAGAGGCCTCCATAGGAGAAGAGCCTAAAGAGGCTAGACCAAGGATGGGCAAAATGGTGGATCCGGCTGGTTGCCAGGCTCCATATCCCAGCAGCCCTAGCTGAGACCCCAGGGGCTGGGGCCATGACAGTGTGGAGCCACATAACTGGGGCTCTGGCCTGGCTGTCCCAGCCCTGCGCTGTAATGGAGACTGGCCAGGAACCACTGGGGCTGGGCCAGAGCCTGGATCTTGCAGTGGTGGCAGCACGGGAGGGGGACGAGGGACCAGGGCAGAGTTGCGACCTGCTGCCCACACACCTCTGAGATGAGCACGGGTTCCATGGCAGGGGCATGCAGGCAGCACAGCACAGCTCTGCGCTGTCACCGCTGCCAGAACTCAGCCCCAGCCCTGGACCCACGTCCTGCCCGCACAGCTCCTGGATGGTTTCCATTGAGAACCTGGGAGTGCAAGGGTGTGATGGTGCAGGGCTGGACCAGGATGGGGCAGAGCCCTGGCTCTGCAGCTCAGTGGCGTCATGGCCCACCACTGTCACACCCCTGTGCTCCTGGGATCTCCGTGGAGACCGGCCGGGAGCTGGAGCTGCTGGGAAATGGAGTTTGTTGCAGGCCAGACTTTGCCCACCCCTGAGCCGGGCCTGTTCAGTTTTAGAAAAGAGATGCTTGCAGGGGAACATGATAAGGGTTTACAAAATACTAAATGGTAAATAGGGATTGATTATTTACCGTCTCTCACAGTACAAGGACTAGGGATCACAAAATGAAACCAGGGGGTACTAAGTTTAAAACTAACAGAAGGAAACTTTTTCACACAACTCGTAATTAAAGTGTGGAACTCCTTGCCACCAGGTGTTGTGGAAGCTGACAGTTGAGCCAGATTCAGAAAAGGGATTGGACATATTCTCAGAGGAAAGGGGCTTCATCAGCTATTAAGTATGGGAGTTAGGGATACAGCCTCTGAATCAGAACTTCCTAGACCTGAAATGCTGGAGGCTGCAAGTGGGACAAGAACAGTGGGGAAGAAAGCCTTGGTTATACCCAGTTCACTCTCCCTCTTGGCATCCACTCTTTGCTGCTGCGTGACACAGGGTACTGGGCAAGATGGACCTATGGTCTGACCCAGTTAATGGAGATTCTTATGTTCTTATGCATGTTCTCTGTTAAGTTTCACTCTGGGTGTGAAGGAACTGCATGTGCAGTGAAAGTGCTAGCTGTGACCAGAAAGCTGGTGATCCTCCTTTGTGTATGGTCCAGGAACCCAGCCTAGCTTGCTTTACTTATGTGAAAAGTCTGGAAGACACAACCCAATTCCAGATAATGAAACATTTGGCTAAAAGTGTGGGGGAGGGGGGTTCTACTGCAATGATATTTGCATTTTTGAAGTGTATTGTGCTGGAAACAATGTAATTTGTTTATCCAATGATTAAATATTTCCTGGCCACATTCCACGGAGTGACTCTACCTCTTTTGTTTGGAAATTTGCATTTGTACTAATGTGACCTGATGCAGTAGATTTAGAGGTAACACTTAACAGAAAACATCTGTGGACACTTACCATATAGAGTTGCACAGTAAAATTACAAATGGCCTTGAAAACCACAGCAATAGTGCTTCACTGACTTCAGTTACTTGGGAAAGAGAAACTTCATTTGTCTTTTGAATCATTAGTTTGTTTCTCCTTAAACTAGTTATTGTAGTCACCAACTTAAAATATGCAGGTTTGGGATGCTTTGGAAGGCTGTAATTCTTTCTGCTCTTAAAACTCAGTGACTTATTTTAGATTGGACGTTGATGGTAAACTGGAAAGGCTCACATGTTTTCAGCACAAATAGTGCTCTGTCTTATTTTAGGCTGGTGGTAAAAAATAATTGTGTAGATGAACAATAGTGCTGATAAGCTTTGAATGGTGATGGATAATTTCAATATATCATAGCCCACTGAAGAAGAGTTTCCTTTCTATATCTTTGGAATATGTTGTATTCAGCTAACATGAGCATGTGTTTGTTCACTTAATGGTCATTCCATATGTTCAGTATGTTGGTTTTTTGGGGGGGGTTTGTGGGGTGTTTTTGCTGGAGAGACTTTTGCTTCCCTAAATCCTGTTCTGTTTTGCTCTTGAAACCTTGCATGGTTCAGTAATGCATTGGTGATTCTGGGCCGTGTGTGTGTGTGTGTGTGTGTGTGTGTGTGTGTGTGTGTGTGTGTGTGTGTGTGTGTGTGTGTGTGTGTGTGTGAGAGAGAGTGGTAGAAACATTTACATACAGTAGGTTTTCCATTTATATTTAAAATAACTGCCTGCTTTTGATGTTCTTTTTGTATCTAGATATGAAACTCCACATATTGCCTTACGTTGTGGAATTATGCTGAGGGAATGTATCCGGCATGAACCACTTGCCAAAATCATCCTTTTCTCGGAACAGTTCAGGGACTTCTTCAAATATGTGGAAATGTCAACATTTGACATAGCTTCTGATGCCTTTGCTACGTTTAAGGTAACTTGCTTAATGTCAACCACAGTTTTATGATACAGGATTTAAAACAGCCTCCTCATGGGCCAGAGGCTGTTGGATGTGGTGTAGTGGACAGAGACTGAACTTATTTATAATGGATGACTTTACTGTGCAGTGGAAAATATCAGCCAATATGGAATTGCAGCCTAATTCTGAGAGGTGGTGAATGACTCTTCTACTAGATTCTTTGGGCTTGGACCACCACAGGGGTCCAGACGTTAATGCCTTGATCTGTGCAAGTAGCTTACATGGCAGGCAGACTGATCTATCTTTACAGAACTAGACTGAAGTCATCCAGGCTCTGCCCAGGTGTAGTAACTGATAGCATGCAGTGAGTTGCAGGATTAAGGTTTAAGAAAGCAATTGCTCTGCAGTCTTTTGGGTGATTTCCTTTTTGGACAAGGTAAAACCAAAACACTGATTTCTCTACAGCTCTAGTAGCTTATATAACAAACTTCAGGTTTTTATTCTTGAGAGACCAAGCTGAGCAAATATTTAGAGAGAAAAATCCAAATATGGGTGAATATATAAGTGAATAGCTTTGGCAGAGTTTGCAACCCTTTGTTTCTATACCCAAATACAAGTCAAACTTAAATGAATGCCTGCCTGGGCCCTAGATGGCCTTGCTGTTAAATTTAATTGCAATGCCAAAGTAGCAGCTTGTATTTGTGTTTTTGGGAAGCTGGTAGTTATGTTGATCTAATCCCAAAACAGAAACAAATCATATGACTTACATGACCAAGCACATTACAGTAACACCAGTGAAAGAGCAAGCTGCAGCACAAAAAATAAACTATTGGTAAATAATTTTAAATAGTGAGTACATTTTGAGAAACCTGCAATCTGCACAGAACTAGCCTTCCACTTTGCCAGACCCACAGACAGAGCTGCAGTCCCTGCACTCCACCTAGGTCCTCTCAAGAGCAGGATGTTGTGAAGAAGATGGAACTATGGCTCTGATTCCCTCCCCAAAGCAGTCCAATGGACCTTTGCTCTATGGAAGAGCCCTGATATGCATCTTTTCAAGGCATGTGGTGCTGATGTACAGTTCCTCTGACTGTTGTGTAATGCAGAGTCCAACATGATGCAGAAATGTCTTTGAGTGGTCTCTGAAGTGCAGCCACACAACACCCATCATTCTGGGCTGTGTTCTAAATGGCACAGTCTAGCACGTAACTACTGTAGCAGGAAAATTGGAGAGGTTTTTAAATCACATGTGGAAGTTTGTCTTTAGGAAGTACTTGTGGTTCAGTATTCCAGCCCAGCTGTGTAATATATATTTTAACCAACATATGCCTCACAATATCTTTAAAACAGCAAACCAAACAAACTGGAAGAGCGACTGCCAGACACCTTCATCCCAGGCTCTGGCTGCAACAGGGAAACAGCAGATTGTCCAAAGAAAAATAATACCAATCTCCTACTAAAGCAGGTTGTGAGAGCTGCAGCCCCCAAAAATGCTCATTTTATTCCCCAAGCACATGGGCTGACTAAACATTAAAAATATCCTTTTTTTTTTCTTAACACTTTTGCACAAATGGGCAATATATTCATAGTTTCCTAGTAGCTAGGGTCAGGAGGGACCTGAACAGATCATCTAGCCTGACCCCCTGCC